ATGGGCATAGTAACAATATTTTTATACTACATTTATCCATTTTAAATATACTAACCTCACTCATTTGTAAAAAATAAGGCAAACATGTAATTAATTCAGAAAATCTTTTCAGGACCCCACCTTGATGTTTCGGGACCCCACTTTGGGTCCCGACCCCAACTTTGGGAAATGCTGCTCTAGAGAATCTTTTAAATGCAGCGATGCATTCTGGGTACAAACATTACAGATAACATATTTTTTCTTGACATATTTTTCAACCCTTTTGAAATTATTTTGTGAACCTTTATAACTGATACTATGACACCTGAACTTCTATGCGGGACAAAAAAGGTTTAGATACTAAACAAAATCAGGACAGTTTTCTGACAATGTTTGGTCAATTTAAAAGATAAAAGTGATGAAAAACACAACAAAAAGAGTCATGGCAGACMATATCTCACATTAAAACATATTCACACATAAATAAATGGCAAAATCCAAGAGGGGAAAAAACATTTTGATTCCAACTTAAATGATTTCAGGTTTAAAGAATCTGTAAATGAGCTCTGGCTTGCCTGGATCCACAAAAMCAAATAATAAACAGTGATCAGGCTTTAAAATAATCTTCCCAACAAGTATGAAGGCCCGACTGAATGTCCACTGGGCCCTTCTGGCATCAATGAAACTTTGGATTTGCTTTGCTGATTTTATCAGACACCCTTCTATTGTTGTTTTCCTTTAATCCAGTTTTCATTTCCCTCCTTAGTCACAAGACTTGTCCAGATATTATGACTGCACAGCGGAGGAAGTTAAAGGAGACACATCAGGCTTTTAAGTCCTTCTAAATCATTCTGTTGGGGTTTTTATATAAAGTKGAACTGCAATGCTTTGATCTGATTTTCTCGTTATTGTAACTCCACAAGCCCCATTTTCTCCCCATTTCTGAAGTGTGCCTCAAATCAGCTCACCCACCCTCTTTACTTTCTCTCAAAATTATTTTTATATCAAATGTACAATTTTAATTCATGATTCAATGCAACAAAATAAACAGATTTAAAAAGTAAAAGATAATACTTGTCCTGTCCCTAACTGTGGTGCCCTGAGCAATTTAGTTTAACAATCCTGTATTAATGTCTCAACATAAGTTGCTTTAAAGCCAGCATTGACCATAAACTGCCAAAATGCATGTTAATTATACATATTCTGTCAAAGTGGGAGAGTTCAGAAATCAGGGAGTAAAACTATCTTACTTTTACTTCTAATGTATGTCTTTTTTGTGTCACTTCAGTAGAAAACGAAACCAAATATTAGTTTATTTATTTCTTCATCATCAGTGACTTTTTTTTATTTTTTTAAGTGAAGAGAAAATAGAGACAGAGAGAAAAACAGAGAGAGAAGTAATTAGGAAGATAGAAAGATTGAAATAGCGATTAGAAGTATATTAAATATACACCAACAAAACACAGGACCACACACCCAACATCTGTC